GGGGGGGGGGGAGGTGATCCCCGCAGATCCCAACAGAAGGGACAAGAATTCCTTCGCCAGAAAATCGACCCTTTCGTTTCCTCAGACGCCCACATGGCTAGACAGCCATGCAAACAAGATATTTTTCCCCTGTTCAGTCAAAGAATGAATCCTCAATTGCAACAGAAGTATTTTCGGATTGCAACAGAAGTATTTTCGGGTTTAAAAGTGAGAGTCTTGTGAGAGAAGTGAGGCAAGACAGGAATCGGATAGGATGAGACAGGATAATTTGTGATAAATTTTTAGAGCCCAATGCCATGTGACCTCCACAGAAGTCTTTTTAATACAACAAATTGTTTCAATAATTGGTCGCTTTTAAGCACAAGCGGCTATCCCGAAAAATGCTGTTTTGAGAAAATCAAAGGTAAAGTTTTTGCCCCTTGTTTAGTTTCTTTAAAAGACAAGGAGGGTTTTCTCTATCACCAACCAAACACACCAAGGAAACCAAACTTCTCCTATAGGGGGGGCAATGTCCACTTTTGGTGTAGGTTAAGATTCCTGGAAACCCCCGGAATCTGGGTCAGCACGCTTGTCCTTAATATTAAAAGCAACCAATAGATGTGCTGCTGTCTTGCACACAGCTAGTAGTAGACCTAAAACTATGCCTCTACCCCATTGAAAGATTTTTCTGCCTAGTTTTCCATTTCACCAAGAACAACTACAATTAAGCTCCATTTCACTCACATTAAAGTTTTTCAAAGGCAACACTCTGCCACACGAAAAAGAATTCTTATTTTGGGCTAAGAAATGTTAAAGTTAATAATGAACAAACATAAAAATGTTAAACAAAGCAAAACATTATTAAAACTTTTATTTCAACCAGGAAATATAAAGTCTGCTAAAAGTAAAAATTCAACATGATAACAATTTGCAGTCATGAGATTATGGCAAACCAAAGTAACGTGTGTGACGACATGGACAAAAAAAATAAAATCAATCTCTCATATAAAGAACTCTTACGTACGCGCTAGAACCAAAGCATACCAAAGAAAATTATAATTGCTGTGATTGCTTTGCGTACCTTACGTAAGGTGCTCATAACAGTCTGTCTAGACCAACAAAGAAAATAAATACTTTCTTGGGACGATATAACGATATGTCAGATGAAAAAACATCTCAAATTTTTATGTGCAAGAAAAATTTTAGATAAAATCATAAATAATTTCAAATAATGCAAACAACTGTTTCTCAATATGCAACACGTCAAATCAGCATTTGAGGTTGATCTGATATATTATATAATATGTGAATGTTGTGTATTGAAATCACAGACCGTTCCATCACAAAGAAAATTGTATTCATCTTCATGAGAAAAGGCTATACATCGTCGGAAAACTGTTTAACTATCTTCTGTATGCTGTTAAACTGTACCAGGCCCAGAAAGCAAAATTGTACAGAAAAGAAAAAAAAACAGTTTCATTTTCGTTACAACTGTATCTTCATTTCGCTGGTTTTAGTTGTTTGGTTTTGTTGTTGTTTTGTTGTTTGTTTGGTTGGGTTTTGTTTTTTTGGGGGTTCAATTTAAAATCTGGCTTTCCAAAAAATATTTCTTGAGCACATACAACCAATAGGGGGGACCTACCACACAAGTTAAGAAACTGCAAGTTTTTAAATTTTGGGCTTTGAACATTTCAACAGCTGGTCGACGACATGCTTTGAGTGATTCCACATTTACACATACAGATCTGATTCATCTCCATAACATCCCAATATTGTCAACGTCGGTCCCATCACAATGAACAACAAGAACATACCAGTACTGCAGTGATGCCCTCCAACTCCAACCCTCAACATTCACTCAGTAGAGCTCACAGTTCTTGTTGTTGTTCAACTTAACCATTCTTCAACTCAAGTAGGCAATCCAAACCATTTTTTTATTTTTACTGTGGAATCAGGGTTTCATGCTATTATGCTATTGAACTCTTTATTCTGAAAACATTGATGTTTTTACTTTCTTCATTGCAGCTCAACAGTTAAAAGCTTTCAAATTTCCATGAAAAAGGGGTCAAAATACAACATTTCGCTAATTTGCTAAAGAGTTAATTTTGGATTTGCGCAAAAAGCAAACAAAATCAGAAAAAGGCTTCAAATTTGGTAAATCAGTCCCACCAACTACAAAGCCATCCCATTTTTTTTTTTTTCTTGAAACACCAAGGTAAACGGAACTGAATCAAGACAGATTTAACCCATCGCGAGGTTATAATGAACACAGGCACTTGAGACCCGAATTTGTGTATGAAACCACATGGTTTCTTTTCAAGGAAGATTTTCCTCGCATTCCTGCCCCAAACAACAAAAAACTGGTGTTGTATTATTCTATGTGAGAATGACTGAGACGTGTGAGTGTCAATTATTAATGAAGGCATGTATTCTGTATCTTGTAAATAATCTAACATGTTGTGTAGATATTGTTCCTTTTACATATTGATCATGAATAAACTGTCTCGTTATGTTCGACCCAAGACGAGACTCCTGTGTTCCTGATTGATGTTCAAGTTTGCTGTTACAAGTTACCTGGTCCAAATACAAGACGTTACATTGGCCACGAGGATGGGATCTACACTCTAGCAAGTGCAAGACACAACAGAATAGAAAACAAACAGTTTAGGAATTTGTTGACATCAGTCACTAAGGCGTTGGTGGCCTAGTGGTTAGGTTACCGGACTCCTAATCGTGAGGTTGCCGGTTCAGGGGTTCGAGCCGTGGGGCCCGGCGTTGTGTCCTTGGGAAAGGTACTTTACATAAATTTTCCTCACTTCACCCAGGTGGGAATGGGTACCCTGCCATAGACAGCGAAAGATCTTGTCCGTATGTTAGTGTTTTAGCGCCAATAAATGGCAGCTATTACTGTATGCTTCCCAGGAAGTTGAAGTTGTTTCAGAATGCTCTCTGGTTTGCTGGTGTAATAGTATAGATTGTGAAGCACATAGAGCTTGCTGTTGAGCGGAGATTTGCGCTATACAAATGCTATCTATTATTGTTAAGGCAGTAAATGAATCTGAAATGGCTGCAAATATAATGTTTGCAACCTGTTCCACGCATTTTACTGGGATGGTAGTGATTCAAGAGAAAACAGACAGCATTGCAATGCAAAAGTGTGAGATATATATAGCCCTCTGTGTTCCTGGCTAGGACAAGGAGAATTTGACACATCATCTGGACTATCACATAGGCAAAGACACTGACAAACAAACAAATTAAATCTATGACTAGGTATTGTTTAGAAAATTTTAACTTGCTTTTTCTTCACTCAATTTCCAGTTCAATGATGTTTGCTTCATATTTCTATCTTAAAAAATAAGGAAGTTATAAGCATTTTTCATGACCTGCTCTAATTTTCATGAAGTTCTCAAATTAATTCACCTCTGGGGGACCGGACAGTGCAAATTAATTTGCCTCTTGAAGGGTTAAAAAATAGAAAACTTAAATTTCCAGTTTTTATTCCATGTGAGAAAATTGTGAAAATTACTTTTGTTTCCACTGTAATATACGCTTAAAAAAAGGTATATAAAACCAACCTTACGGTACATGTATTTGAAAATTCGTAAAGAATTAAGCAGGTGGTTGGAGGGCACCACTGGTAGGTCTTACTTCTTTATATTTCGCTCAGTTGTTTCAGTCTGTCTGTCTTTTTCCCAGCACTTAATGACCATAGTTGTGTCGATGTGCTTCTCTTCACAAAATAAAGATTTTTTTTTTTTTCAAACCTACTAAAAATGGTGCTGACTCTTTTCGAAATATCAACAATACATCTGGAAAAAGTTAACAAAATATAGCAATTGACTCACTAAACAACAACCAAAAGAAAAGATAGACTCACTTTCACATGCCAGATAGATAGCTCTGGTCTGCATCAACCAGCACAGAAATTAGGTTGTGGGGGACAAAGATGTATACTACAAAACGGATCATTCCTCTTTCTGAAATTTTTTTTTCTTTTAACTTTCTTCAAAAAGCTGGTGGAGACATGTAAATAACTGCACATTGGATACTGGTTTTAAAAGTGACATATCATGTACAGTAAGAGGTAAAGCGAAGATTGCACTAAAAGAATTTTGATTTCAGAACCAAAACAAAACATTTTTAGCAGTGCAAGTAGCGGCTTCCAAGAACTGTATTAACTCATTCTCTCGGCTAAGCCGACCAGTCAGCTATGAAAACGTTTCATCTCGACACCTAGCAAACTGGTTGGCTATCAGCATTGGAGAATCAAAAGTGCAAAGTATTTGAAACCAACTTTCTGAATGAATTATCCATGTTTCCGAAACGGAAGTAGGATACGGATGATCATAAAAACCTTTCAAGATGGCGTTTTGTTTTGAGCATGCAAAGTCAGTTCGAATTGTTTTGTGGATTTCACCAGCGAAATGGCTGACGGGGGGGGAGATGAAGCAGGCCCTAGTTCGGGAAGGCGACAACGTTTTACAGCCCAACAAGCACTTGGTTTGTTCCAAACTCTTGCCAGTGATGACAACTTAGCGAGTGAAAGTGAGGTAGAATTTAGTGATGGTGGTTCTGACAGTGATGGCGAGCGGAATGCGATGAACTTTGAGTCTGATAGTGATAGCTCTAGTGACACTGAAGGATCAGCCGCTCAGCCACGCCCACAAACTCACACTGTAAACAACGCAGCAACTGACTGGGCTGAAATCTCGCAAAAACTAGGACCAGATCTAACCCCTACTTCACCAACAGAATGCTCTTACAACAAGAAACCAGTTTGGAGATGCTATTCCCCCTAACCGAAGACAAGTGCCAGGGGTGAATGCAAACCTCGACCAGTCATCCAGTCCTCTTGACTGTTTGAAAGTAATTCTCACGCAGGACATTATTGATGATCTTAACAAGTCAACAAATGAGTATGCTGAGGAAAGGTGCAGGCCACAGAGGCCTTGTATAAGAAAACGGTCAGTTCACCAAACATGGGAGCCAGTGTCGGAGTACGAGAGGGTGAAATTTTTCTGTGTGCTCATAGCTATGGGTCTTGAAGTTAGACCTAGTGTTCACGACTACTGGTCAACAGAAGAAATCATGTACAATGCATTCTATCACACCATGTTTCGAAGAGAACGATTCAAAAGCATTTACCACACCATGCTTCACTGCTCTGATCCAGACAGTGAGAACAAACACAAAATTGAACCGCTCATTGATGCTGTCATAGAGGCCTCCAGAGAAGCATTCTACCCGTTCCAAAATTTGTCGATAGATGAAATGGTCATAGGCTTTACTGGACGATGGAAATTCAAACAATATAATCCGTCGAAACCAAAAAAACATCACATCAAGACGTTTGGACTGGTCGACTCCACTACAGGCTTCGTCTTGCGTCTTTTGAATCACTTTGGGAGAGATATGTCCTACAAACCAGCACTGGATCACGATCTTACAAGAGAATAGGGGGCAGCAAAGATGAGCATGACAGCTTTCAAGCTGACAGCTCCTGAAGCAGCTGCAAGACAAGGCAGTGACACTGATGCCTGCAGAAGAGGTCGAGAACCACACCCCCAAAAGGAAAAAGCCCAGAGAGACCAACCCTGTTGATCGTTTTCAGGGCTCCAAACACCTGATCCAGTGGACAGGAAAAGACAGGGATTGTGTGTACTGCAGTGAGCAGAGTAAGGGCAAACGCAAAAGAACGTTTATTTGTTCAGGATGTGAAAGTCAGCCTTACCTCTGTGCGAAGATCTGCTTCAAGAGGTACCATCAAAGGCCCTGATTGGCCTCCCCTCTCCTCTTCCCCCTTCATTTTACTCTTCTTGAGTAGTTGTAATGGTGTATAGTGGATATTGTGTGTTTTGTGGTTATTTCATGAACGGCTATGTTTTTCTGCAAAAAAATTCATTTAAAAAGTCGGATATTTTCACTATGCGGTGTCATCATGGGACCACTCTGAACTGCATACGAGTCTTGACTGTGGCAAAATGGAGTTTACCTGCGATTCACACTTGGATTACCTCTTTGGATTACCTCTTTTGGATTATATGAAGTGGACATTTCATCACTTATGACTTGGTGAGTGCAAATTGAATGCTGTTATCAGTTCATCTTTTCTCATCTCATAGTTCCCTATACACACCCTATCTCTGAACACAATCATCATACTGTTTATCTGTTGATGTCATATGATAGTCCATTAAATTCCCTGTTAATCGATATCGGACAAATTATACTTTATCCTATAAACATAGATGGAAATGGGATTTTCCGATTCATCGTTGTTCTTGTTGCGACCCTCAAAATATCTGCCTCCAAACTAAGAAAATTGCGCGGAGTGAAAGGGTTAAATTTCCAGGCCACTTTTTTCCCAAGAATGAACAATGTTGTAGCGCTTTACGTTGTAGACTTTTCCCCCATACAGCATGCAGAGTGCAAAAACCTCTGTCCCCAGGCGCCAAAAAAGCAGATGGAAAACATCAGTACTATACCAGTATCTTGGCAAAAAATACCCCAATCATTACGAAATTTTCAGGACAATGAGAAAATTTAATGTGACGATCGCTTTTTCGTCAAAAAAGGAATCAGAACTGGAACTAAAAACATTAGATCTAGCACATTCATCATCCGAATCGTCATCACTGCGACACTGTAAAACAGCACTCACGCTAGGTTTTACTCGGAATTAAAATTTTTTAAATTTCACTCTGATTGTTGTAACCAAACTGATCTTTGCACTCAAAAGCCACACAAACCAATCTAAAAGGAAGATACAACTTTAACAAGTGCACATGTCAAAAAGGTGATAATTCCTACATTTTTGTTGCTATATTAACCCTATCCGTACGCCCTGGGGTCATGTTGTACCCCCCGGGTGGTATTCTTCACATTTTAAAATACTTCTAGTACAAAAATCTTTTTGAAACTTTCAGTATTTCTCAAAAAATCATTTTGACAGACTGCTACGCAAACCATACGAGTAAATTTCCTCTTTGGAAAGTAGTGGCACAAAGTTCCCCACGTCGTATGGACACAATAGTAAAACACAGCGTACGGATATATGGTTAAACTGTCACCGATTGGCATCCCGAGGAAGAAAGAGGCAACTTCTTACCATCACCAACAGGAATCCCATGGGGAAGGAGGGTGGGGGGGGAGGGGGTGTTAACTGTACCAACCAGCCCAAAATGTAACCTCAGTAGGGTTAAAAAAACCCAGCTGGCTGGTAATTATCAGGCCAGACCGGAAAAACGGAAGGTTTTTTTCAGCTTGGATTACAAAAGACAATATTAACTCTTAGTGTCCGGCTCGCCACCTCACGTGGCGCACTTAACGTAGCCAAAACGGCGGCACGCCACTTCATGTGGCTCTCTATGTCACCTAATATTCTGGGGCATTGTGTAAAAACTACACCGTGTACGGAAATCTTCTTTCTTAGAGATCACTTTAGAACGGAAGTACACAATTTTCGAATGCAGTTTGTGGTGTTTGGAGCGTTTTTTCCAGTGAATTTGTTGTGACTTTTTCAGTGCGAATTTGTCAACTCAAGTCAGCTCATTTGTTTATTATGGCTGCTGCCAACAATGGAAGACAGCAAAGGCTTTCTGCAAAAGCCGCCGTAGATTTGTTCCAAACTATGTGTGAGGATGAATCTGAGCAGGATTGTAGCGATAGTGACTCGGATGGGAACGACGTCATAGGCAGAGACGAGTCTTCGAGTGAGTCAGACCTTGATTAACCAGGTCCGTCAAATTCAACTTGTGAGTCCAGTAGAGGGGCGTGTCCTTCACGGGGTAAAGGGAAGGGGCTTGGTAAAAGAAAGGGAGCTGGTGCTGGGAGCAAAGAGAGGTCAAGATCTCCCCTTCTTAGGCCTAGTACTAGTACTGGAGATGGAAGAAGAGACGCAGAAGTAGGGAACAACTGGAGACAAGTGAATGAAGGGGCTACGGCGAAGAGTTTTCGGTTTACGTCCCCGAGAACAGGAGTTGACTTGGAGCTTGTGCCACAAGGTTTTTCTCCTGTCCACTGCTTTTTGGCACTGTGTACAACAACAATTCTCCATGGCCTGGTGACAACAATCAACGAGTATGCACAGCATAAATGTGCAGAGCTTCGGGATACTGCGAGTGCAAGATCTGTTTTTCGAACATGGACAGACATCTCACTTGGTGAGCTGTACAAGTCTTTTGCCATCGTTATTTCGATGGGTATAGTGCACAAGCCAAGCATTCACAGCTACTGGTCAAATGAACCATATCAGTGCACACCGTGGTTCAAAAAAATGTTCACATGCGACAGATTCCAAGCAATTTATCACACGATGTTACACGTTTGCGAGGTTGGAGCTGAAGGAAAAGCGAAGATTGAACCCTTTGTAATTTGTTTGTTACAACAGTTTCAAGCCGCGTACTACCCAAAGAAGAATCTCTCCCTCGATGAAATGGTTATCGGCTGGAAGGGCAGGTGGGCACATAGAATGTTCAAAGCGTCAAAGCCGAAGAAATATCACGAGAAGACTTTCGGTTTATGCGAGAGTGAAAGCGGATACGTCCTGAATTTGCTAATTTATTTTGGGGCTAAGACCTCGTTTGACCCTCGCCATCATGATGCTCAACAGGCAGAAAAGGTTCTTAGCACTCTGTTGTCACCTCTGTTACCACTTGTTTGCAGACACGTACTACACCAGCTATCCCCTGCTGAAATATTTATCAAGCGAGAAATGTTATTACACCGGGACGGTAAATATAAATCTACGTGACTTCCCGCCTGAGCTGAAAACAAACAGGCTGGCTTTCAGAGAAACGAGGTGTACATGCAGGATACAAAGTACCTTGTGTAACATTTCGAGACAAAAAAGCAAAGAAACCATGTGTCTTGGTATCTAGCGAGGCACAAGTACGTGCAACCGAGGTGAAAGGGGTGGACAAGCCGTTTGTAATTCAAGATTATAATAAAAACATGAACGGCTGTGATAAAATTGATCAAATGGTCCAGACCTATGGTACCTTCAATAGAAGAACAAGAAAGTGGTGGAAGAAGATCTTTCTGTGGACCTTTGAGATCACACAGATCAATGCTTTTATTCTTTACACCAAACCTCAGCCTGAAGGTGCCAAGAAGCTTCGGTTGCTGAAATTCAAAACGAAGCTCAATGATGAGTTGTGCAACCTTGCGACACAACATCTGGCTGAGATACAAGAGAATAATGACAACAGAGGTCATGCCCAGCCAGAAAACCCCTTGAACAGGGTCTGCAACAGCTCACATGTCATTGTGAAGTCAAAACTGACCCGTGAATGTCGAGTGTGTAGCACGCGCGAAAAGAGGGTGAGGACTTCAGTCTTCTGCAACGGTTGTGACAGCCAGCCATTTCTGCACTCAAATAATTGTTTTCAGCAATTCCATTCATCAATGTAACTGGGGTAGTGAACTGTACATAGTGTAAATCTTTTTTATAGAGTTCTTATCCAGTGGTGTGGTGTATGTGCTTTTTTACCTGTATTTCAGTGACTTATTTCAAAGTTACAAAAACTATTTTGTGTGCATCAGAAACCTCTGAAACTTTCAACATGAACTGGAAAATGGACATACTTTCATTTGATATACTGTTTCAAGCATTCTGAATGGATTATTATCTGCCGTGAATACATGTAAGTCGAAAATATGTTGATTTTTTCGTCTTTTTCATCAATTTCTTCCTCCATCAAGCCACAGATCTTTTCTCTCATGCCTCACATATCTTTTTCTTTACCAAAGTTGAATTGCTTGTTCATTTCTGAAAATTTTGATGTGTCATGCAATTACACAGATTAAAAAAAAAGAAAGTTATAATCATTTTACCATAGCCCCCTAAAAATCACAAAAAAATGGCTGCTTAAAAAGGTGGAATAGGCCCGTGTACAGTAAGAGTTAAATCTAAGTAGTGGTTAGGCGCTCTACTGTCACATGCAGGAGACCCCAATTGGATTCCCAGGAGGGAATAACATTTCTACAAAGTATCTCAGTTTTTCTGATGAGATACTGTATCCCTCTCAGCCTGGACTGACCCTGATAGGCAGGGTTGGAAGCCCGCCTCTAAAAGTATCTCAGTTGTGTTGATGGAGGTGTAAAAACACCAATATCCCCCCCCCCCCCCCCAAAAAAAAAAACCAACTGAAAAGATAAGGCTGTGTGTGTGGTGATGAGGAAGGGGGGGGGGGGGGGGGGTAGATGTCAAACCTCTCAGCCTGGCTCCGTAACACGGGGACTAAGTGTTCTGTTCTGCCTTCCAAATGGTAACAAGTTATTGTAAGTTGGCAAACACTGGCAGGCATCTGTATTTGATCCTCCTTCATCCAAACCAGTGGTCAGCCTGGCAATCTCTGGTCCAGGGCTTGACACACAGCCAACACCACTCCTTGCTGCAGCGAGAACACACCATGTGCATGCACCCACCTGGAGAAGGAGGACACAAGGCACAGTCAGTTATACGAGCCAGATGAAAAGTTTGGTAAAAGTACAGTCGAACCTGCTGTAAGTCTAACAGCGGCCTGCATAAGAATACAATCACCTGTAGAAACAGTCAATACAAATTCCCCCACCCCCCACTTGTTTTACATTATAATGATAATATGCAAGATACCTGCCAGTCTAAGACAGACACTTTTCTCATCGACAATGGATGGCCATCTAAGACAGTTTCAACTGTCTATGATTACTTCCTTCGCCATCACAAACTTTCACTTTCTAGTGAAACATAACGCACATGAATTAGATTTCCACATGGTGAAGTTGTGTCTTATAGTATCTCTGTCTTTCAGTTGGGATGCTTTATCCCACTCAGCATAGGTTGGCCTTGACAGGAAATGTTGAAACAGCCTGCCTCTAAAGTAAACTAAATAGTTTCGATGGGAAAGTGATGTCAAATGTGTGCCATCAGTGAGGGTTTGATTCCGAGAGAGACTCTTATTTCCTCTTTGGGAAGACCGGTCTCATAAACCAAAAAGTGAAAAGCATCAATAGGAAGGAACAGTATTATCTAAACATGAAAATTTCTACCAAAACACAAAATTCTCCGAGAACATCCAGTCTCATAGAAATAAATACTTCAAATCCTGTCACGAGCTTTTAGCACATATTCTGAACTTGGGCAGCTTACTGAAGTCTCAAGTTACAAAGACTAAGTTGCAATAATTCTTACTAAAACTAAAACTAATTAAAGTTTATTGATCATGAATGTACAAATAAATACTACAAGGTGACTGCCAAGCTGACTAAAAATTTTCGTGAGGTGTCCATAAATCCATTTATACTACGCCCCGCAAACGTGTGTGTGTGTGTGTTTGTGTGTGTGTGTTTGTGTGTGTGTGTTTGTGTGTGTGTGTGTGTGTGTGTGTGTGTGTGTGTGTGTGTGTGTGTGTGTACTTGCGTGTCCACGTATGTGTGTGCATGTGTGTGAGTGTGCATGCATGCATGTGTGTGTGTGTGTGTGTGTGTGTGTCTTATTATTTTTTTTAATGCTGAAATCTCACATCAAGCACTTGAATTTCCCAAGTCGGAATGTCAAATTGATACTACTTCCATTATAATTAGAAATAACACGAGCGAGCAAAGTTCCAATACAACTTGGGATTAGTCAACTACTAAAATCGGCATCATTATTTATGAAAATAGTGCTCTGAGTTTCTGCTGACATAAACTTTAACGGGTGCTTTCCTCTGGATATCCCAATTAAATCGGGATGAGTGGCAGGTCTGTCATCATCATCATCAATTTCCAAATAACTTTCCTGTTTCCTCTGGAGTGGGGGGGGGGGGGGGGGGGGGTGTGTCTGGAAACATAACATTTATTATCATGTTGACATATTTTATATGTAACTTACAAATATCCTGCACCAAATAGGGTCACAAGACCAAAAAAGAAAAACTTACAAAAATAACTAGAGGGGTGTACCTGAGTGAGCAAGACAGAGCAAGGACCATGTGAGACAGATTTAATGTAAGAAGCATAGTACTATTTAAAAAAGACACCAAAGACATCAGCACTTGTGATTACCAACACAGACTACAAACCAATGAGGTACAAGCAAAGAGTTTCCACTGACCACTTTTCTCAGTCTTAGTCTTGCAGCCCGGGCATGCTTTGGTAGTCTCCTCTATAAGGCTCAGGGATTCCTGCTCCCAGCACGCTCGCTCCGCTCTCTCTTCGTCCACTGTAAGATCCTTCATTAACGTCAGAAGGAAGAAAAATATTTTTGCTGAAGCATGGGTGGAGTTTTAACTACACATGGACTAGAAGAAATATGATCAACTATTGACTAGACAAACATGTTTGTTTCCTGCTTCCTAGATTCCACAACTTATACTTAAACAGACATGACTTAAATTTGCTCAAATTCATAACAAAGGAGTTTCAAATCTGAGTTTTTGTTTAGCCTGTTTTTGTTTCGTCTTGATCAAACTAAAATCATCTGAAAGCTGTATCAAAAGCTGTTTTTCTTTTTCCTTAACTTAACAGTACCTCTAAACAATTATCTTCCTTTCTGTCCTCTTTCTGCAAATACCCTAGGTACACAATAAGATTATACTATACAAGCATGTTCAATAGCAAAAATGGCTGCAAATACTAATGTTTGAACCTCAATAACATCAAAATAGAATTTAAATTTATAATGTTTGAATTTAGCTTCAACTTCACCATGGTAAGTTTAATTAAAGGCCAGACCTTTGAATAAAACGTAGATCTCAGAAAGGACTGGGCAAAGTGGGATATTGGATTAATAATCATCGTCATACAGGGCCAAATCAGAACCAGACATTGGTGATCACATTCACCAGTCATTTCTTTGCTCTTTCTCAAAGTGCATTGCATTCTTGGGTGATTTTCAAACCAGGTGTTGAAAATCATGGACTACAGCATACAATGAGATGTTTGCCACTATGTTTTACCTTTGTCCTTAGCCCAACTACATCTTGTATGCATGTGCCTCATATCTTTGCGTTTAAGTCCCAAATTTCTTCTTCTTTTTCTTCTTCCTTCTCAGAGACAGTCAGAGCGTCAGCCTGGTGGCATGCAGAAACTGTACAGCTCTTTAACGTACCTATGACAAGCTTTATATCCTGGATTACAAAAGTGTTTCAAACTTTATCTTGTATCAAACGGGGGGGGGGGGGGGGGGTGGTGAGACTCACATTTCCATGGAACGTCTGAGATTGCAAATGTTCCTCACAGTCTCCAGGATGGTACTCCCTTAGACACTCTCGACAACTCAGGAACTGAGGAGCACAGGTGTACAATAAAGATAACGTAAGACGCACATTGAACTTGATCCTCCATTAAAAGAAAATGACAGTGCGCTTTCATGACTTTCTCGTCTTAGTTTAAGTAAGAGTTTTACCGCACTTGCAATACAAATAAGTCATTTTTAAGTACCCAGGTATAGAGGTGTTACAAGACAGTAACAAACACACACACAAAAAAAAGGATAAGAGATAAGGATGACAGATGTTTGAAATGAAAGAAGGAGAAAACCACACCAGAGTACTCACCACCCACCCACGTTCACCATCATCTTAGTTTTAATTATAATAAGCGTTTTATTGCACTTGCAATGCAAATAAGTCAGATAAGTACTTATGATAAGAGGCGTTGTTAAAGAATAATTGAAAACGAAGTACTAAAATATCATGCTTCAAATGTTTTCCCCATTCACAAGTTTGTAGCACCTTTGACAAACTGATTATCTAACTTTTATTGTGCTGTGTCTCTCTAAATCAATGGTAACAGGTGATGGGTCACAGGTGATCATAGCAACTGACAATAATAATCTCACCTGACACTCCCGGCAGAGAACCCCCCGCTCAGAGTCCTCTGGGAAGAGCCCCATACCACAGCCAGGTGCAGGGCACAGAATCCCTCCATTTTGCAGCACAAACTCCTCAGCACCAAAGTTTTTGTATCGCTCATACTATACAGAAAGGAGAAAACATTAAGGGACTGGAAGGGGGGAACGTTAGCTTTTTATTTTTTTTTTTCTTAACTAAAGAACTACTGAGGTAGGTATTATCTTTTTACCTGTATTTCTTCGACATAAAAACAACTGTATTCTATTTCATAATTGGCAAAGCAAAAGACAGCTCAAAACTTACTTTCATAATCCTAAAATCTCCCACCTTACATTTTGAAATTCTGCACAAATAAATCATTTTTGCTTTGCATCTGTCAATGATTACCCCCAAAAAAAACAATACTTGTCCCATAATAATTTCAAAGTTCAATGGAATGAAACATTTTTAAACGTTTAAGAAAAAAAAATGACATTGTAGCCACGACCTCATCATTCACAAAATTCGACAAGGCCTCAAAATGTATTTGTTGAACTAATGCCTCTACCTGATACAAACAATCAGCACAGTGTTTTGGTTCTCTACACTACACCAGACATTGGTGCAGTTGTAGGAAGTTGTTTGAAGTAAAAGCAGCTAGACAAATATGTGAACGTCTTCATGTAATAATAATACTAATAATAACAGCTAGCACACTTCCATGCTCGGTAGCATGCTCTGCACACTTAACAACTATTATTACCCCAGCAGTCCTTGAAACACTCAGAAACATTCTCGGCTTTCTGAGAAGAATATCGTGAAAGCTGCGGACTGTATGCACGCAAATACAACAGTGGGTGTCTCATTCAACGAGGTCACATTCAACGAGAAGTCGGCTCCAAAAAGGCAATCCTTAATACCCGATTTTTCCTCTATATCTCTTTGTAAGTGTACGTCAGCTCCAACGAGGTTGCAATTGGACTGAAGTTGCTTTCAACGAGGTCGCGATAACCAAATAAAAGCAATTAGAAGCCCTAAAAGCGAAGAAGTTTTCTCCTTTCTGTCCATCCCACGATATGTGAGGATATGTTTCCACACGAGAAGTGTTCGGGAAAAAACAATAATTTTTAAGCACAAATGCCGGTCAGCACACAGCTCAAGCACGTGCACACTGATGCTGTTTGAGATTTTCGTCATCAGGGGGAACAACGTTTTAAATTACTTGTATTGGTACATCGTGTAATATAATAACTTGTCTCCTTTTTTTTTCTTTAGCCTTAGTCACGTTCAACGAGAGGTCAGATCCAAAGAGGACAACAAGCCGGCCTCTTCAACCTCGTTGAATGCGACACCCACTGTAATAAACTGAAAAGATTTTTCACTGTCTACATCCTGTACCTTATCTTTCCCCATCAGTAAGAAATGATGAGTCTCTTCTATGTAAGCTTCAGGACACCCAGCTGGGGAGAATAGCGGATGAAAACATGAAAATCATAAACTTAGGAGGAGGAGGAGGAGGAGGAGGAGGAGGAGGAGGAGGAGGAGGAGCAGGAGGAGGAGGAGGAGGAGGAGGAGGAGGAGGAGGAGGAAGAAGAAGAAGAAGAAGAAGAAGAAGAAGAAGAAGAAGAAGGAACAACAACAACATCAATACAATAGTAACAGTAATTTAAAAATAATAGCTACACAAACAAAAAAGCAGACATATGCGCGTATGCACGCACTCACACACACACACACACACACACACACACACACACACACACACACACACACACACACACACACACACACACACACACACACACACACACATGTACCTTACTCACAAGGACAAGGCAAGGTGTACCCGTGCACTGAATGCTCCACCAAGCGTTTTGTTTTTATAATCGTTTGTTTTAGTAAGTGTTTCACGGCACTTGCAACACAATAAGGTCATATAAGTGCCAAAGAATGGATGTGTTACAAGAGAGTAACATACACAAAAAAGGAGGAGAGATAAGGACGATAGATGTTCGATAGGAAAGAAGGAGCAAACCACACCAGAGCACCCGCCAACCACCCACCCACCAAGCGTCTCTTGCTCAGACTGTCGGAACTGTACTGACATGCACATACACACACACCACACACTCACACACATACACATACATACAAACACACTAGACCTGCATGTGAGCCTCAACCAGATTGTCTGAAAATTTTGCGCAACCCCCCCCCCCCCCATAACTTTAGAGCTTTTAAATTGTGGGTGTCATAAAAGGAAGGATTTCCGAGTAACGAGCGACCACCCGAACAAACACAATAAAGAAGAGACCTAACCCTAACCCAAACCCTATCGGCCTACCCCTAGGCCTAACCCAAAAAAGAACCTGCAACGGCCCTCATGTAAAAAGGCCAGCACAAGTCAAAAAAAAAAAGAAAGAAATAAGCACACTCCAAAATGGCCCACATTGCTATAAAGAGTTTGATACAATAGAATTGGATAAAGATCTATGAATCCTCCATATAGATCTCAATGATCTACATAAATCTAGATTGAGATCTAGTAGAACAAGTGAATAGGAATAGATCTAGAATCTAGGCCTTGAACGAGAAATCCGCATCCGATTCCGAAGAGAGGGACTCAGCTGAGTCTAGGGGTCTAGATCTAGATCTAGATCATCTAGATTCTAGATCTAGATTAGATCTTTATTCTAAGTAAATAATTCACGCACCTGATAAAATGCGTTTTACCAACATTAATATTACAGCACAACCTATAATATGGTTTGACACAATAGAATTGGAATATGAATCCTCCATTGAGGTCTATAATGATCTATATAAATCTCGATCTAGAGTAGAACAAGTGAGTCGGACTTGAAAGATTGTCGGATTTCAGACGATTGTCGGCAAACATGCAGGTCTAACACACACACTCACACAGTCAAACACACTCAAACACACAGATAAACACAAACTCACACACACACACACAAACACACACACTCTCACACACATACACAAACACACATTTTACTCACCAGGACAAGGCAAGGTGTACTCATGCACTAGATGCTCCACAAAGCATCTCTCGCTCAGACAGCTGTAACCGTACTGACAGAAAAAAACACACATACAAACACACAAACACACACACATACACTCAAACACACACACACAACTCACCAGGACAAGGCAAGGTGTACCCGTGTACCGGATGCTCCACAAAGCGTCTCTCGCTCAGACAGCTGGAGCCGTACTGACGGAAACAGTCCAGGCACATCACGTGGCCGGGGGAGCATGGAAAGATCAGGACCAGTGACCTGTCACAGACATGCAGGTTCAGTCAAAATTGTCTAAGACAGCCGCTCACTGTCAAGGAGAAAAGTAATTGTCCTGTACAGCTGGATGTCTTACAAAGTGTGATTTTAAAAAGTTACCAAAAAAACACAAAGGGGAGGGGGGAGATGGGAAGTGGCCACTTGGACGGGTGATCGTCTTGAGCAGGTGGCCGTTAGAGCAGGTTTGACCTTATACAATTTTTTTTTTTATTGTTTGAGTAAAGAGGGGTAAATCAACAAGAACACCGTTCATTCAGTGTAAGGAAACAGTAAGACAGACTGAAACTACAGAAGGAGAGAAAAAAATGCAAGACCTGTTGGTGGCGGCCTCCAACCACCCTCTCATTTCAAAAGAACTGTCACTTCTCATACGGATGCTCGTTCAACAGAGGCAAATAATACAAGATTCATGTTGTTCAGTTCAAAATAAACCATAGAATATTACAAGGGTTGTCGTGCTACAGGCACCTGGCCAGCTATCATTTTCATCAAGACATATGTGAGGTATGCTGACAAAATGAGTTACTTCTCGCAATCCAAGAAAGGAGATATCTGCTGAGAAATGACACGAGGTCAGATTGACAGTTTTTCAATTGATGCCATTTTGTTCAAATATTCCCTGTCGTTTATTATCCCATACTTACAAACTGTACAAGCTTCACCTATTAAGTTGATGAATCAATTTCCATAAAGGAAAAATCTGAAAAGTAACTCATTTTGTCAGCACACTTCACATATATAAGTGAAAAATAAACAATTTTATAAACAGAAAAGTTTCATCCTCACATGACATCTCCGCAGATAATGCACTCTATCCTGCGCCGGTTTGCCTGTACATGTTTCAGCACAACCGCTGTACCCGCCAGTTCCTCAGAATGACTCTCACAGCATCTCATGAGGAAAATCTGACGGAAAATGTTGATGACCACAATAATTTTAAACTGACAAATTTAATATCGAATATTTTTAACTCAATTTCAATTTCTCATTCTCAAAAAAAAAAATTTCTGGTATATAATATCTAAATGGGCAAGCTACTAATATATAATACATTTTTTTAACGCAGATTTTAATATTATACTAGCATCTGTGTTTGTCGCGGCGGCGATTTTTGGCATTTTTTGGTCCGCGAATCGCAGTCGCAATTTTTGCATTTTGCAAAAAAGACAAAACAATACAGCTACTTCATAACGTATTAGACATGTATTTTGATAAGTTTTAAAATGTTAATGTGTATCTATTTTCATGTGGAGAATATGTACATTACATTACATACTATTTATATAGCTGTCTGTCTTTTATTTTTCCCTCTTTGTTGTGTTTTAATTTGTTGGAGTGTTAATTTTTCTAAAAATTGTTCTGATGATTTGTTTTTCTTTTTTTGCGGTTATACAGCGTAAGGTCATTTAACTTGATGCTGTTCCTACCCTTTTAAAAGTATAAATGTGTTACGTTAGAGCGTGTCTCCACCAAAACCGAATATTGACACTGGCACGCCCCAATTGTGTGTTTTCATAATTTACATGTAATATCCTGTAGGCCTATTTTTTCTTGAATTACACACATTTAGGGTTAAAACAGCTACATGTAATATCCTGTAGGCCTATTTTTTCTTGAATTACACACGTTTAGGGTTAAAACAGCCAATCTTCTGACAGGTGGACACGCGCCCTAATTTGTTAATTTTTGTGGTTATTTATCCGTGCTGTTATAATTTGGGTTTCATTCTACTGTGAAACCTTTATTTTTCACGTTTTTACACTCTGGGTGACTACAAATGATATTCTGGTTGCTTAAAACAGAGCACAAGAAATTCTGGTGCTTTAGATTGTTACCTCTAGATCTATCAACATGTTGCTATATACGTCGTCACAGAGAGTTGAAAGCTTGAAAATTAAAGGCAACTTTTTTGGCAACTTTTGCCACTTTTTGTGGCAACTTTTGGCAACTTTTGGACATAAAAATGGCAACAAACGCAGATGCTAGATTACACTGGGGTGTATGGTCCATAAAACATTTAAAACTGTAAGCTACAGGAATAACCAACTGCAATAAGGTTCAATATGATATGGGACAGATGATCATATCTGAAAATTTATTAATTTTAGAACATTAACTGTCACAATTAAGACACTTAGGTCCCCGTAATTCCTAACTATTTCTGTGTTTTCTTCTTTACAACTCCATACCGATCCACGGCGTCAAATGAAGCAAAGATAAACATTTTTTTAAATAGAGTGAGTTAGAAAATTTGCAGTAATTACACACTGAACAACTAGCAAACTCACATGTAACCAATTAATAAAAGCTGTCCCTTGGAACTCACATGAACAGTCAGAGAAAGTCACAGTCAGAACCTTCCTCGTTTCTATCCATTTGTTATTTCCACCCAATACTTTGCCTTTTTTTCAAACTGCTATATTTAGAACTATTGTTAGAAGTGTTTCCTTTTGAATCCAATAGAAATGCCACACACTCAGTACTCACAGGCACATCATGGGGACAAGATTTACATTCTCCTCGTATTCTCGTATCAGGAGAAATGTCATCCCAGTCAGAAGGACCCTGAAATAATATTCACTTTTCATTCAGTTTTAAGAGTACTTAGCTGAAGTGTCCGCAAAATTACACAGCATAAAAAATGTTTAAGACATACCGAAGGATGGGTACAAAAAAACAAGGATGGGTACAAAAAAAATAAGGAGGGTACAAATATTATTTTTGTTTACTTTAAACTGCAAAAAATGTAACATTTTTATGACATACATTTATAACACTTGAAAAAGAAAATCAATATTCAGAAGATGTGCATATTCAGTATAGCTTCTCCACTGAGCAGTCTATTTCACTCTAGCAAAGACAATGAGAACTTTTATATTTAATGTATATATAGCAGGGACTCCACTAATACTAAACTATTGATGGCTCCAAAATAACTGAAGCATCCTGACAAAATCTCAGCCTATTTATCAAAGTTTGAACAAACAATAAAAGTCTCTAAAATATTTTTGAGAAAACAAAAAGACACTAAATAATGTAAATATATCCTGTTACAACATAAAAAAACATTATAAGTAGACATAAACCTTGCAGAAAGTTGAGACTGAGTACGACACTTTTGGCTATAGCAGCTTGTTGCTCAGACCATCTATACCAATAGTATGTTGGGTTTTTTTCAGACATGAACACATACACTGCAATCTCACATAATGCAATGACAGTTGCTATGATAATGCTACAACTAAATTTAAAGCAAATAATATAACAACAAACCCTTTCAACTAGAAAAGCTCCACTATGGCATTGCTTGCACTCCACCCTCAGTTTACCAGGCCTCACACAGTCACACAACTTGCAGAAAATGAAGAATCGGTTTTGTCCTGTAAAACAAATTTTGTCGTACTTTTAAAAAAAGTAAAAGTAATGCACTCCACAGGTGTAGGTTTTTCAAAGAAATAAGACATGTCCAGAGTATGAAGAGAAGTCAAAGCTGTGAACAGAAAGAAGACCTGTACTAGTATAGATGACCCATCTAAAATAAACACTTTCTTTCTCAAAAATTAATGGTTCATCCGTTTATTATAATGAATAATGAATTGAAGATAAGATAAGATAAGGTAAGATAAGATAAGATACATCTTTATTGTCCAGATCCTGGCACATTAGTTTGGTGTTCCACCACGGCTACACACACACACACACGCACACACACACACACACACACACACACACACACACACACACACACACACAAACACACACACGTACACACGTGCACGCACATGCACACACAAGTAGGCTTACAATCACATACATAATATAAATGAGCAACAATATAAACAATAGTAATCGTAAGGTAGATACACCCTCAATGTTATTTTGATGCATGCTCTAAGGTCGTAAGTACACTAAACAAGATGGTTAAGATGGAAGCATTTTGATAGATGATGGTAAAAATGACCTTCTGTATCTTTCTTTGTTACAGATCAGAAGCATGGGTCTTTTACTTCTGACTGATGTTTATATTTGAGGGAACAAGGGATGTTTGTTGTCTAAAAAGATGAAATTAATTTTCTTAGTGCAAGCTGTTATGTACAATTCATCCAAGTAGGGACTGAAGATGTTGAAATTTTACATGCTTTCCGTATTAGTCGATTTGATTTTTCTTTATCTTGTTGTCTTGTGTTCCCGGCCCATGCTGTTATACAAAAATTGATCATACTTTCTATGGTTGAATGGTAGAACATGGACATCAATGTTTTATCAACTTTAAAATACTTTAGCTTTCTAAGAAAAAATAGTCTTTTGTTCACTTTTTTATGCAGGAGAGAAGTGTGGACACGCCAGTTGAGTTTGTTGTCTATTGTAACACCCAAATACTTATAGTCTGACACTTGCTCGATGTTTTCACATTTCATTTTGAGTGGCTGCAGGGGCAGTTTCTTTATTCTAAAATCAACGACAAGTTCTTTTGTTTTTTCACATTTAAAAGCAGCTTATGATTTTCACACCATTCAGAAAAATTAAGTACAAAATTCCGGTAAGCGGTTTCGTTATGGTCAGCCTGAATTAGCCAATTATAGTTGAATCATCTGCAAATTTTATCAACTTGATGTTACTGTTGTTTATTTGGCAATCGTTCGTGTATAGTGTGAATAAAACTGGTGACAAAACACATCCTTGAGGGGCCCCTGTATTTGTTGTGATGTATGTCGATTAAGAATGTTTTAATTTTACATACTGGGTTCGGTTGGTAAGAAAATTGCCTATCCATGATATTAAATTGACGTTAACACCTATGTTTTATAATTTCTTTAAAAGGATAGCTGGATGACTTGTAACATCCAAGGAGGAACAGAAGTTACAGTTATAGACAGTACTTGCTGCCTAATAAAATTACAACTCCATTATCAGTATGCTGTACGCTGACTCATTCACTATCACTCAAATGTAAGTGATGGACAGAGTGACTACTATGACTATGAGTGTACCCAGCCTGGGAGACGAAATGTCAGTTTTGTCCATCCTTCTATAAAAAGAACACAACTATCAGACTATATGTGTTTTTATGTTAATACTGAACAAACAAGATTAAAAAGTGATTGAAAAAAAGGCACTGCACTTTGGCAACTTGCAATAGCATGTTTGTAATATTATCTGCATAGGTGTAAAATTATGTATTATGTGAAGTTGCTGAATTATTCATGCCAAAGTAAACCAAACTTCCCCACAAGGATCAATAAAAGTAGTTTTTCATTGATATATTATACGTATTATTTTATCTTCAACAAGCAAACCTTGTATTCGTGATCCAAGACTCGAGAAATACCTATTTTCTCTTGGGGGAGGTGGAAGAGATAACCTGTTCGTTTGTGGTGAACCCTCTATCTCAGTCTCCAGGTGAGAGCCAGAAGGGGAAATAGGTTGTGAGTCTGCTGCCAAGCCGTCATCTGACCAACAAAATGCATGTACAGTTGTGTGGGCACCGAGACCACACTCCTGGAGAAAGGACACAAGTTTGAAAAATGACCCAAAGGCATTTAATACCCAACAGACATTTGGAAACTGAAGCAGCAAAAATTAAATATCTGCCTGTTTGGCATTCATCAGTTACAGGTTAGTCTTCATATGAGACACACTTCATGTTTATGTTGGGTTTGTCCTTACGACAGCAGGACTGTTTTATCAAAACAGAGTCCCATAAAAACCAGAAATAGCAAGTCAGGTTTAGGAAGTACATGGTATACATTTTCAGTTCATCTGAAAGGCAAGTACAGTAAAACCTCCGTATCACTCCAATTAAAATGAACTCTCAGCTGTATCATTCCCTTTCTGCAGTCCATAGTCCCATTTATACTTTCTACTATATGCTTTAAAACCTAGGTCCAAAATGTATTTGCATAATATGTACTTTCCGCTATACGTTCATTTTTCAAGGGGTTTAAGCGATCAAAAGTCCGTTTACAACATACACTGTGCTTGTAGGCTAAAATTTTGAAAATAAAGAAACACTACTGAATGTGATCTAATCTTATCATACTCAGGAATGCCACATAATCAGATACAGTGAAAGGGCGAAATTCTCATTCAGAGGTTTTAGTCGCAAGTACATTCTTGCATACCTTTACCCCACCCCTCACACTCTCTCTGTCTGTCTCTCCCTCTCTCTTTGCCTGTCTGTCTCTGTCCATCTCTCTCTGTTTGTCTGTCTGTCTGTCTGTCTGTCTGTCTGTCGGTCTCTATGTCTGTCTCTGTCTCTCTGTCTCTCTGTCTCTCTCTCTCTCTCTCTCTCTCTCTCTCTCTCTCTCTCTCTCTCTCTCTCACACACACTTGCAAGCGGAGATTAATTATAAAGAGAATTTACTTGGTAAACCTCCCCTGTCTCTATTATTTTGGCTAGTAAGTACCACAGCTAAGAAGATATTAAAAATCTTGGGTCCCAAGGGAGGACATTTTATACAGGTACGGAAGTTTTTAGGGGAAGTAAAAATTATACAATAACTCCTATTTAAACTTGAAATTACCGATTAATACCCATAAAAAAGTCATTCTGTTTCTGCTTCGAATAAATTTGCCTGATACTGATAGTATAACTAGATCTAGTACAAGAAAGAGTTTATAGAAATGATAAAATTTTCTCCACCATTTCCTATTAAACCACTCCTTCTCCAATTTACAGCTTTTCTATAGCAACAAAACCAAAAAAAAAAAAAGCATGCCAAAAGTAAAGACAAAAACTACCAACCTTAATTAAGCGGTGATTTTCAAGCAACTGACCAGCAAGTACAAGATTAATATTGTTGGTCGCAGTATCTGCCTTGAGTGCCAGCTTTTCTTTAACGTCTTTTATAGAATCCTGGACAGTGACGTCCAACAAGTACGACTGGCTAGCATTGAATCTGACAACAATGGTCATGCTCTCTGCCACTACACCCAGTCCAACAGCCCTGCCATTTGAACTAGAGCTCATGGCCATGATTATCAGCAGTCATCAGCAGCTGTTTCAAGTGTTCTAAAGAGGCTACGGATTGTAGTCTTCTGCCATCTGATAATCCTGTGAGGAAAAAAACAGAAGATTATGAAGTAGCCTATTTTTTTTTTCTGGTTAAAGCAAATCATATTTTTGCTAAGTTTATTACATTCTCATTCACTACAATAAATGATTTGGTGTAACCTAGGCGAAAAACTGACTATGAAAAAGCCTTTGAGATTCCATCAAACACTTCCCAATTTTTTTAAGCTCTCAGAAAAATTTGCCATTGAAAAGGGAGTGAGACAAAGAGACCTCATATCACCCAAGGCCGTCGTTATTCGGACTCGAGTCCGAATAACATTTTTTCATATTTGGACTCGAGTCCGTATAAAAAAAATTCTTATTCGGACTCGAGTCCGAATATGAAAAAATGTTATTCGGACTCGGGTCCGGAAAAAAGGAAGTGACTTCGTTCTATAGATCTAACATTCAGTGCTTCCAATTTTCCGCCATTTTTTAGTTTCCCCCACACCTCTGCCGTCGTAAGGGAAAACGACGAATGGTCAAAATTTTTCTATTTTTGTATTTTTACATATTTCATAGAGTATTTAATTCTGCATCTGATGGTGTAAAAATTTTAGTCATATCTTAATCCGTTGTTGCGTAATTGAGAGTTCGTCGTTTTCCCTTTCACTGGCGAGCTCCGAGCCAAAGCTAAATGTAAGGGAGAACGACGAATGGTCGGTCGGTCAAGGATCACTGCTCTTTCGGCGTTGTCCCCTGGTCTCTGCCGTTGGGCAAATTCGGCATGGACGACGAATGACAAGTGGTCACTGTTGCGTCAGTAAAAACATATAAGGCTTTTTTAGCAAACAAACATACCACCACCCCCTCCCC